GAAAGAGCAAGGTCAGAAAGCAAGGCCAGAAAGCAAGGTCAGAGAGCAAGGTCAGAGAGCAAGGTCAGAAAGCAAGGTCAGAGAGCAAGGTCAGAAAGCAAGGTCAGATAGCCAGGTCAGAGAGGAAGGTCAGAAAGCAAGGTCAGAAAGCAAGGTCAGAGAGCAAGGTCAGAGAGCAAGGTCAGAGAGCAAGGTCAGAAAGCAAGGTCAGATAGCCAGGTCAGATAGCCAGGTCAGAGAGGTCTGACCTTGCTTTCTGACCTTGCTTTCTGACCTTCCTCTCTGACCTGGCTATCTGACCTTGCTTTCTGACCTTGCTCTCTGACCTTGCTCTCTGACCTTGCTCTCTGACCTTGCTTTCTGACNACTTTGTCTTTGACCTCTAACCTTCCTATGTTGACCTTGCTCTCTAACCATATTTGTAACCTCACTCGCTAACCATCCTATCTGAGCTTACTCTCTAACTTTGTCTTTGACCTCTAACCATCCTATCTGACCTTACTCTCTAACTTTGTCTCTGACCTCTAACCTTCCTATGTGACCTTGCTCTCTAACCATATTTGTAACCTCACTCGCTAACCATCCTATCTGAGCTTACTCTCTAACTTTGTCTTTGACCTCTAACCTTCCTATCTGACCTTACTCTCTAACTTTGTCTTTGACCTCTAACCTTCCTATGTGACCTTACTCTCGAACCATATTTGTAACCTCACTCGCTAACCATCCTATCTGAGCTTACTCTCTAACTTTGTCTCTGACCTCTAACCTTCCTATCTGACCTTACTCTCTAACCTCCCTCTCTCACACTCTGACCTCTGTGACCTCACGTTCTGACCTTTGACCCCCGCGCCACCAGGTACGGCTACGACGTGGTGCGTCTGCGCTCGCTCGGGCGCGACTTTCTCGCCAAATTCGACGCCCTCTACGACCTGCAGGCTCACGGATACGCGTTCACGACCGCCCCGGCCCTGCTCGCCGCCGCCCACCCCTCGCTCAGCAACCTCACGCGCTACACGGCGCGCACGGCGATGACGGACGCGGGACTGTCGCGACGCTACGTGGAGGAGGTCGTGAAGGCAGCGATCAAGGTGAGTGGGGAAGGAAGGGAGGGAGGGAGGAGGGTGGGGGCTACACGGCCCGCACGGCGATGACGGACGCTGGACTGTCGCGACGCTACGTGGAGGAGGT